CCCTAAGAAAATTTCTTTAGATCCGCCCCTGCCAGTGCTCATGGTGAAAAGCGCACAAGCTACAGACTTTTTCATTAATGCAGCTCCACCCTGAAGATCGGCCTTACTGGCCGCTAGTAACCTTGATGACATAGCTTCTCTTCACACACACTACATTTCGATGCCCCCCCCCCCTCCCCTCAATGCCCACGGGACACTTAAAACCAGTCCCAGTTGTTGCTTCCATCTGTATGTCTGCAGCAACACACATGTTAACCTCGAAACTAGAGCACGTCTGCATCGCAGACGTACATCACAAGAAGCATCCGAGGATTTCTCCCGAGCGCGTCCAGTATCATGAAACACGACGATTATTTTTTTATCATCTTCGTTCCACTCCCAGAGCACTGCAGCTCCGGCGATATGAGCGCTGCTGTAGGCGACAGCATTACAGAAATCATTCACATAAAGGTGCGACGGAGGCCTGCTTTGTGTGTGTGTACTAAAGTTGCATGACCAGTACCACACAGCTGGGCTAGTCCCAGTGGAGCAAAGACAGCTACACAGCGGTTCAGTCATGGCGGCTGCAGCGGAGACTGGACCACTAATGGTCGGAGCCCGCCGACCACCGTTTTCCCTCCATACCGTGAGGTAGCGCGTACCTACTGCGCTGTAACACGGCGAAAGCAGCAGCTAGAGCTCATCTCACCTCCACCATCCCTGTTTTCAGTAAGGAGAAAAGAAAATGCACTGCCGGCTCTCCAGAGCCGTCCCCCGCATTCATTTCGCACCTTTGCCCCCCACCAGCCCCTAAGCTACATGCGGTTTCCCGCGGAACTCACCCGGCCACGCTGCAGAAGACCTCGGTACGAAAGTCCGTCCAACTCCGCACGATCCTCCAACAATGACTGCAGAATGTCCGCTTCGATCTGATCCGCGCCCCCGCTCTGCTGATGCTGCTCCGCGAGCCGCGCGCTCACGACGAGGCCGGGGCGTGTGCAGAGATGCACGGGCAGAGCGCAACCTGCCGGAGATGCACAGATTTAACCAATTCTTTGCTCCATTTAGTCAAGTCTACGGTGGCTGGAAAGTGCAAAGCCCAACAAATTAAAAAACGGCAACAAATTGAAAAACGGCAACAAATTAAAAAACCACAACAAATTTAAAAACCGCAACAAATTAAAAATCCGCAACAAATTAAAAAACCGCAACAAATTAAAAATCCTTGACAGAAAGGGATTGTAGGGATTGAAGTGACACAACGATTAGCCTAATAGGGCTTTTGGAGAGTGATGTCACGACAGGGGGCGTGGTCAGGATTTTTGGTTGAGGCGCCATGTTTCTGGGCCGAACAAAGCGCTAGCGAAAAATACACGGATAACACCAGCTATGGTTCGTACTTGCTGTGCGGTCGGTTGTAAAGTTAGATCACACGACCGGCAAGGGAATAAGGTTGAAAATGGTTTATCTTTCTATTCTTTCCCCACCTGGAAGCAACATGAGGCAGCTCATGTATGGATGTTACCAAAACGAGACGAGCTGATATCCAGTTCTCTTCCATCTCCAAATATCTGTTGGTGTGCTCCAGACATTTTCATTCCGGTAAGTTATAGATATGTTCATATCACTCTTTATC